TTGTAAAAGCCGACAAATGATGGGTGGGCTCCTCCCCTCTCCCTCTTCTGCACTGGCTTGGCTGCCAGGGCCAGGAGATTGCATCATTACAGAGGATGAAATCATCCTGCAACATTAGGGTGGAACAGGTGCTGAAAATTTAATTAGAACAGGGTGGAAAATGCTGGATGAACATGTTAGGGAACTGTCCTGGCCCCAAACTCAGCCCTGACTGACAGATCTATTGAAGGCTGTTATTATGGGTGTTCCCTACTGCAGCAGAACTTCCTTTATTAGAGGGATATCTCCAAAAATATAATTAACCAATAACCAGCTGTTCCACAACTTCTGGTCCAGTGCACAGTGGGATCTCATCCCTGTTGGATCAGTTAGTTTTCGTGATGCTTACTGCTGTGGAGATGGTGGTGGTACACATGTAATGACAAAGTAATCAGCACTGGTTGTATTCAGCTAACGTGGAGCTAAAAATAAGCAGATAAAAATATCCAACATCAATGGAGCTAGCTCAGGCAGAGAACCTGGTGAAAAGGCAGAAAGCCAATCAATGTCTGGGTTTATTTCATTCACCAGGTTGTTATTAATGATGCAGTGCCCACTGCAGTGGGGAGCTGTCAGGCTTCTGGGCTGTCTGCCTGTTCAGCCTCATCAGCATTAGGACGTGATGTGTAGGATTCAGAGTGACTGGCTGCCTTACCAGCCTCTAAACCACCCCCCTCCCTCCCCAGCCTCTAAACCACCCACCTCCTCTATGCATGCAAACTGTACTGTACAGGGACGCTTCAGTACACTACAGTATTTCTTCACTAAGACACTGAGAGCAGCTCTGCAGTTTCTCGTTTACTGGAGAAGAAGCTTGATTGTTGACAGATTGCAGGGCATTATTGTGAAGCCAGCTGGATCAGTGTGCCTTAGTTTCTGGTGGAAACTGGGAGTATTCTGAGAGACTTACACTGCCATGAACACACCACAACAGTCTTAACTATCTAGTCTGGCATCAAAACGGAAATTGTGTACCACCAAGACACTGAAAATCTTTGACTACATGCTTGTCGGTCCAAAGGGAATTGCGGCAATAATTTCTAAGTATAAAACATGAACAAAACAGCTTGATGAAGACACAAGAATGTCTTTCATTCACTGTAGCAAAAGCTATTTTTAGCTGTGAATAAAAGCCTCATTCTTCACAACACATGACTATTGTCTATTTAATCTGTGTTGAATACAGTAATGTGCCTATTAAAGACTCCAAAGCATTGTGAATCAAGCATGTTTTACTCTTTATATTTTTAGAAATAATACCTACAGTACCGGTATTGGTTTCTTTTTTGATAAATGAATAACAATAATTAAAAAATAAAAGTATGTTTTCAAATAATGCTCAGTAATCTTGTAATATGTTGTACATCATCCCAACTTAAATGAGGCTACAGCCATGCTAGGCACAGCAGTGCTTTGAGATAAATCCTAATGCTAGCACGCCAGCATTTTCACATGACAGTGTTATCATGTTCATGTTTATCATTTTCTACTTTATCATATTTAACATCTTGGCTTAGCACATCAGCATGCTGACAGAATTACCACAAAACAGTGCAGTGGAGGCAAATGAGATTGTCACTACATTTGCAGGTATTTGATCATAAACCAAAATATGTGCTGTAAGTTTATGATGTGTTTTTATGCAGCTATGTGATACAGTATTTTACAGTTCTCACTTTGGCCAGATCTCTCTTGTAAAATAGGCACATTACAGTATAGTACCTTCCCTGCTTCACCCTCTTCCTTTTGACCATCTTTACCATGTAAGCTTTACACTTGGTTGACTAACCAGTTTGCCATTTAAACAAGATTATCAGTTTGGCATCACCTCTCCAGTGTCCTGTTGCACACACAGCACGTTGGCTGCATATGTTGTCTAGGGCTTAATAATAATAGACATAATGCAGTTATTTAAACTGAACAAAAGGTAAAGTCGGATGTATTGTAGCTTTAATTGTTTGGCTTAATTGTAAAAAACTATATAGTTTAGTGGGATACAGTAATTAGGTTACCATGTCACTACACATGATTAAATAAGCAGAGCAAATGAAAAATCATATATTCTTGAAACCAGTAGCCTGCGGTCAATATTAACAGTCACTGGAGTGAAATGAGATTTTTATCTGTCGTATCTGGATTTAGGCACAGTCTTGTCCTTTGTTTTCCCACAATCATTAGTGTTGCATTAATTGATTTCCCAAGTCAGGGTTTATTTTGATGAAAAAGAGGTTTGCAAGATGATGAATCTACATCAAGCACTTTAAACAAACATGCCAAATACCGCAAAGAACATTTATATACGGCAAGTAATGCTTCTATAAACATTCTCACTATTTTTGGACAAGAATAAACAGGGCTGACACACATGGTGACAGTTTATTGTGAGAATACAGTGACACATTTGTATGAAACCTCGACTGTACAAAGGCACTGGCATTCACACAGCAGAGCAGAGTGGGTCCATGTGGCGTCAGCCTCTGAATGACGTTTATGTGATGCTGTCACTGTGGACATCTGTAGTGGTAACCTACAAGTGGAGAAGGAGTGATCATACTGAGTCAAAAATAAGCAGCCATAGAGGAATAGACCAACTAAATATACATCTTAAAACTCTATTTCTTAATTAGGGATTATCATGAGAGGGAGATCTACTCTGGTCCCAGATCAGGCTGAAAATTGGGTATGCAGCCTTGCCGTGCTGGAGGTCAGAGCCTCAGGATCCTGATGGACTGATATTGATTGGGAAAGGGGGGTGGCATGGTGATACAGTTGCAGTCACTCAGCATTGATTTTCTGCAAGTGCAGTAGTGGAGAGCAGGCAGCGTGAGAGAGCTGGATCAGAGAGAGCTGCCAGGTTATCTTCTCAAATATCCGGAAGTATTTTTCTAATTTTTTTTCTTTATGGCACTGACCTTCCCAGAGTCAAGAGATATGCCTATTTAGACATTAGCTCAGCAGCCACATGAGACAGAATGTTTCAGCAGTGTTTTCCTGTGCTCATCCAAATACTGTACACTTACTGGTTTAGTTTTCTAGGAAAATCCAACAATACTCTGAAGCTAGAAACAAATGAGTTTAAGTAAAAACTGTTACCAGTCTCCTAGTATAAAAGCATATTATAGGTATTTAGATGTTTTTCTAGATGTTTAAATAGATTTTCCATACTGTCAGAACTTTAATTTAACTTTGGGGTAGTTATTAACTTGTAGGGACTTGAAACTTGCTTCAGATGGGTAATCCATCATGTTGAAGATGTCAGCAGGTGCTGGCAGCTAAAATTATAGAATTGACTCTGAAACAGCAGTGTTTTCAAAAGCCCCCGGAAGACAAATACTGGGAAAATATGTACATCAAGAAAAAGAAGAGGGTCATTTTGTAGCATTTAAAAATGCATTGCATTCAAAGCAGAGAAAGTAAAGTAAGTAATCGCCACTTAATGATAACTAGAAAACATCTCATTCTGAGTACTACTGTAGGGTTATGGTCGTGGTTTAGAAAGAGTG